CCTACCCTTAACCCCCCCCCCCGCAAAGCAGACCAAAAGCAGCTCTGCTCTGCTCTGCTCTGCTCTGCTCTGCCCCTTCTGATGACCGCGCCACATCCCCAGTGGCCTTCTGTGGTCCTCTGAAGGAGGGGAAGCGGAGCTGAGGCGTTCCTTGGAGAGAGCGATGAGGGCACAGCTAAGGGCCAGCGGGCCACTAGCCACCCAGCCGTGCTGAGCAAGAGGGAACGAAAGGAACAAGGGCTACCCGGGGGAAGCTCCTGATTAGCACTGCAGGTCCTTTGCTGAGCAGGACTTGTTATTAGACACTGGAAAAAGATTTTGGCTGCGTGGAAGAGCATTGGCGAAAGAAACAGCCCTGCCACTTGGAGCCGGTTTTAATTCTGGAAAAGCAGGGACCTGATATCTCTTAGTGTACCTTTTGGAGCAACCGCTATAATTTCAACCAGGCTCAGATTGGTTTACACACGTAGTGGAGAAATCCTCTGGTCCATCTTCTCCACTGACTCCGTAACCGAGACCATCTCGCCATGAGTGTCTCTGTTCCTCTTTCTTCCAGAGGTGAATTCAGTGACTTGCAAACGCCCCGCATACCTCGCCCAGTATCCTGTCTCCGCCCTTGGAAACAAATCTTTCGCACGCTGTCAGGAGCACTGGACGCATCTCCGAGATTACACCTTCTTCCTCCTCATCGGCCCGTCCACTTTCCTGGCCAGCATTTGTGTCTGCATCCTTGTTGGCTCGCTGGCAGTGGCCCGCCTGAAACTCATGACAGGCTCATACGTTTGGCTGTGGGCTCTGGTGAGGCGTGCGGGGAACCCCCTGCAGTGAGCGTATTTTGCTTCCAAACAGTCATTCTTTTGCACTCTTTGCCCTCTCTTTGCTTGCAGAACTGCAGCATAATAGCTGTATAATTTCTTTCCGTTTCACGTGTTTTGTGTATAAAAACCTTAATCCTATCTCAGCCGGTGAGTGGACCTTGATGGGATGGATTTGAACTTGTACATACGGGCCCCTATCCAAACAGCAACATTAGGAATTCTGATATAAGAGCAGTACTTATTTGCAAAACAGGTGGTCCGACAGAGGAAATGCCTGTGGCCGTTCTCCCACCGTGGTGGGGCACGAGGATCGTGCTGATGCTGAAGCACCCTTTCCACAGAATCTGTGTGCATTTTCTGAAAAGAATGGTGCACTCTTCCATTTTCTTCCTCAGCCTGGAGTAAAGTGTTATGCAGCAATCGCCCCTCTGAAGATTTGTCCTTCTGTTCATCATCTTGGTGCCTAACAGATTCTCCTCAGAAAGGGAGATGAGATAAAACGGAGGCTGCCAACTCAAGGGTGACCATGGCATCTCAGTGTCCCTGGAAGTTCCCCTGGTGTGCTCTGTGCCCCGTACTCTTTATACAGCACTTGTAAACTTCCCTTGCTGGCTCTGCGCAGCCAGAGGTCACTGTTGTTCCTGGTTTAGTGAGTGACAGCCAGGATGCGGGTGAGATGCAAGGTGTGCTGTGGGCAGAAGTCTGCGTTTGAGCGTGCGGGTCTGCCTGGGGAAGTTTACAGCTTCCGTTCTGAGAAATTCTGCCCAGTGGGGAGAGCAGTGCTGGACCCTTTGTCCTCAAGAAGGTAAGGTCTGAATGCCAAGGTATTCTGCCCCCCATCACATGTAGCTCTTGTGAAACACACCATTATCAGACCCAGGGACTTCCCTTCGCTCTTCTTGGAAAGGCACACGCAAGAGATGACCCAGTGCTTCCCAACTGGGTCCTGGCTTGCCTGGGGCAGGGTGGAGGCGGGGGCTCCCGGAGCAGCTTCCGAGTCTCAACAAGAGCGGAGGGGCTGAACATGCGGTGTGAAGCCTAGCTTGTCAAGGGAACCAGGGGGCTAGGTTGGCGCAACAAGAACTGACCCTGCACTGGAGGGACTGGGGCAGCTGGGCATTGGGTTGGCAGCATCGGAATGGCTCAGGAAGATGCTCATCTTCTAGACTGGCACTCAGAGAAAAGCCAGCTCTATCTCTGCTCCCTGCCCCCCCCCCCGAGACTGCAGAATAAGCACTATGGTTGGACTAGGTGGATGTGACTATGCGGTAGATATTTGTGTTTTCTGAAACCAAAAAAAGGCACACTTTTCCATTTTCTTGCCAGAAATAACAAACCCATAGCTGGGCTATGTCTTGGGTTTAGCCGGTCCAGCCAGGACACAGGTGCTAGTGCCTGCCTGACAGCTGGACGCATGTGATCTGGGAGACCCAATCCCATCTCCTGCTATGTCCTGCCATTACTTCTTCAGGTGGGCAGAATTAACAGAGGCCCACTTCCTGTCTTCCCCCAGAAGCCAGCCTGGTCTTTCTCTCTGTCTCTTTTTCTTTTCTTCCTTCGTGGGCAAGCGCAGCCTTCTGTGTTTCCTTGGCTTCCAGAGCCTACTCCAGGCAACCCTCCTGCTCCTGCTGGGCCTTTGGTGTCTGCCGGCGGCTTCCAGCTCCACCTCAGGTGGCTACTGCAGCTTGTCAGGTATTTTCAGTATTTTCCAAGGCTCCTGGGAAGTCAACAGTCGCTCTGCACACCTTTGGGCCCTCTTTTTACAGCTGCACGTTCTAAAAGTTCCCCAAACTGTGCTGGGTCTGGGGAACCGGATGCAAATCCACAGACCAACATTTCCATTGTTCTCAGTGCCTGTGAGGAGCAAAGACTTTTGTGGAGGCAACGAGAGGTAGCCTATATTTTTCCTCCTCGCTCTGAATTTAAATAAAGGAGAAGCATCCTTGCAGACACACAAGCACACACGTGCAAGAAGATGTCATTTTAAATTAATTGATTTAAATTTCACTATTACAAAAACCCACAGCAGAACTGTAAATAAATATGATAACTCATAATTATTGACCACTGATGCTCACTTAAAAATTCCATAAATACACACATGTAAATACTTATTCGTGGAAGAACCCAGTGCAGCTCTGGGCTTTATTTCAAAAAGCCTGGTTAGAATTACAGTTCCATATATACTTACCTAGGAGGAGGTCCCAATGAATGCAGTGGGGCCTACTTCTGAGTAAGCATGTACAGTGTGTGTGCACACATGCCCGTTTTGTAAATTAGGATCCGGGTTAAGGGGTAGATCAGGATGAGCCGGCGGGGGGAAACGGTCCAGTAGGAGAAGGTGGTGGTTGCATGTTCAGGTGCCTCATCCACGTTTGGAGCTCCTGCAGATGCATCCGAGGCTAGCGCTGCTCTGCCACATGTCATCAGGGGCCAGAGGGCCTGTTGGATGCTGCGAGGTAAACCATGGAGTCTGGGTTTGCTGACTCCTTGGAAGCACCGGCTGCATCAGAGTGAAGATGGCTGCAGCTTGCTGAGATCTGCCCAGGTTTTTTGGCTGCACTGTGAAGCAAGCTCTCCGGGCCAGCTAGCGTGTTCTTACTGCGGCCTTCCCTGCGGTTTCGAGCTCTGACTTTGTTGCATGGAAGTGAGCAGATTAAGGCTGCTTCTGCTTCTCCACAGAATGGATCATCTACAGACAATGTGGGATTACCTTAATCTAGACAGATTCTGCACTCACAATTGCAAAAATGAATTTGGAATCCAGGTTGAACATCTGAAGGATATCTTGTGAGTCAGTCAAACTCACAAGAATTCCAGAAGGTGGGCCTGTGTAGTGTTATAGTCGTCATATTGCAGCTAGCTGGTGGAGTGGCAATAAGGCTCTTGCTTTCGTCCTCCTGAGGGCGGGAATGAACAATACTGTGAAGATCAAGCTCTGGAAACAATACAGGTTTGAGCTGGAAAGTTAGAAGGCTTGGCTCTTTCCCAAAGGCAGTGGCACATGCTCAACCGCAGAATCATTTCCTGGGTGCGTTCTAAAGAGTGCCGTTGTTCTGGGGAAGCTCCTTGCTGGCAACCAGGTTTGTGCAGAACCCCCAGGGAAACAGCTACTTGCTGAGCTGAGCTGCATCTGCACATAGGAGTTTCCAAAGCAAAGCGAAGGATAGGCTGCCACAGTGGATCATCCACCTCGGTAGTCCTGGGTTCAGTCTCTGGCTTCTCCTTTGAAAGGACAGCTGAGGGAGGCTCAGGAGAGCCTCTGCCAGCTAGTCAAGGCCGGGAATGCCCGGGCAGCTGAGCCGGTGCAACAGCCTATGGATTTTCTAACAACCTCCCCAACCCGGCCTTTCCTAGGCGTGTGGACCACCACCCTAGAACCCCAACTGGTGGTGGGATTAGAGGAGCTAAAACCAAAGTCCAGTGCATCCGAGGAATGCTGGCTTTCACGTGCTAGCAGGAAGAGAGAAAAGTCAGCACAAAACGGGATGTGTGGGAAGGGACAACTATGTGTTATTATTGCGGGCGCTGCTTCTTCACATCAAGCCAGAGGATGCCAGACTAGGCAGACTAGAAAAGCAGTGCTTGTGGTCTAGGTGCCTTTGAATTCAGGCTAGGGAGAGATCAGCAGCTTTGCATGTAGAAAGTCAATCTGCGGGAACGTATTCTCTTTAAAAATGGGGCCGGGGAGGGAGAGAAATCGGGTCCCTCTCTGCCTAAAAGGCCGGCAGACAGTGGCGCCTGCTGCCAGTGAGCGCTTGGCTGGATGAGGAGCTGGGACCAGGTGTCTTCCCGGGGCCCTGGCTGCTATCTGGGGCACAACTCCTGCAAGGGACATCTCCGCAAATGAAGGGGCTGGTTTGGACACAGAGCCGGCTGCAGCTCTGCTTTGCCCAGTAAGTTCACCAGGTGGTCTTGGGTTCTCTCTTTGCCCTAGGAGATCTGTTAGAACTCTTGATGCGCGTAGCCATAAACATTGAGAGAACAGAGGAACTGATCTAACGCCCCTTCTGATCTCGGCCCAGGGGAGGAATAGAGCTGTCCGAAAAGGAGTCGGCACCGGAGTCCCGGGCGGAGGCTGGGAAGCGCTTCCGCATGCTGTGCAGCGGGAACACAGCTGAACGTCTGGATCGGCGGCCAGCAGAGAGAGGAGGAGAGAAGATTCCGTGATCTCCCTTCAGCCTGGTAACCATTCCTGTCCTACTGGAGATACTGCTTTATCCGATGGGAGGCACGGAGGGGGTTGGCTAAAATTCTGTGTCACAAATGAGCTGAGAAGTAGTTGAAACAGAAACGGGGGAGACTCCCCCCACCTACATCAGAGAAAACCCACAGTGTCCTGGAGGAACATGGGCACCTTCACTATAGCAGCCAAAGAAAAGGCCGCGCCTGTGGCGTGGCCAAAGTGCTCTCTGGATGGTAGGTAGTGGTCAGACAGGCTTTCTTACAGAATGCTATATATAGTGAACCATGAGCACTGGGGCTAGGTGCCCTTTCGCAGCCCTCTAGTACAGTCTGGAAACAATAGTGTGAAATCAGTTGGGCGTAAGAGGTTCTGTGCATGCATGTAATGATGAAAAGACTCCCCTCGGCAAGAGACCCGGTCCACTTGGCTGAATGTGCAGTCCAACCCCTCCTTGGTGGAAGTATCCCTCAGAACTACCTTCTCTGCATGTCTCAGAGGAGAAGTAAATAAATGGAGGCCACCACTCTAGAAAAAATGTAGGTGCTCCAAGGCCTCGTGTTCAGTAGTTCATCCCCAGGCCACAAGTGATATTGGTCATCCTTGGAGAAAGCAGGGATCTATAATGGCTGGGAGGGAAGAAAGCAATGCAGACGCTGTGGATGGATGTCAAAGGCTTCCCTTTGGTGTCTCCAGAAGGGCCCATCAGAGTCTCCATTGGTCTGTCCCGAGGGAGTCCGCAGCGGCACCCAGATATCACACCACGGTGCTGACCGAGGGGTCAGAGAGATTGAGTTGCCCAGTGATGTCTGTGGGGTGATACTGCTGCAAGAGACAAACAGACAGACAGACAGGGCAAGCTGTTAGGTGGGGCGGGGCTGGCTGTGAGCAACTGATGCAACTGAGACGCACGCCCCGATGGGAGATCGCTCAGGGATGATGCACTGGCCATGGGCCTTAGAGGCACCTCTGCCACTCGCTTCTGGCGACGGCGTGTTCTGCAGAATCGGAACCTGCACGTGCTGGTTGCAAGTCGAACGCTCCCCGGAACTGCTTGAGACCAGTCCACAGAGGGAGGCCTAGCCAGGGCCGCATGGAAGATCTCTCCCCATGCCCCATAGCCGCTGGGAGTCAGCGGCACATTTTCCTCCCACTTTTAATTTTAGCACCCGAGAACTTGGCTTCAGCGGCCAGTGAGTCAAGAAACAGGCAACCTGGTTTGCTTGGTTTAGGATCAATTGGGAAGATAATTGTTAAGGTGAAAATGCCCACACGTCATGTAGGGACAAGGCCTTTGAAAGGGTCTCTGCTGTCCCTGCTGGAGGAGGGCTGGTGCTTAGGAAAGACCAGTCTGCTCCCAACGTTGGGCCTAGTTTTGGCTCTCTGGTGAAAACCTTTTGGGAAGCGATAGCATGTCCCCCTCGATTTATTAATAGGTTGTTTCTCAGACAGTTCAAGGCTACTGGCTCTGCCCTGTAGCGATAGTTCATGGCAAAAATAAGCTTTGCTGAGTAAATGCATCCAATTGCCCCAGGAATAAAAAAAGTGCTGTTGTAGCAGCATTTTTTAAAAAAAAATAACGATCAGAACGGCTGAGAACGCCCCACAGCACACGAGCTGAGTGCAAAGGGACCGCCCGGCAGGGAGCCCGTGCCCTCCTTCCGTCGCTTTTTGCAATTCCTCGCCACGTGGCAGAGCTGCAAGTGGCCGCTCGCATCCCTCACAGCGCCGTTTCCGTCCTTGGTTCTCGGCAGGCGCCTTCCCCCCCTCCCTGCCAGGACAGCAGAGACCTGCATCATCTCTCAGGGATTCCCCGCCTGGGGACAGGGTGGGTGTTACACGGCAGCGTCTGCGGCCCTTCTTTAAAACTGCTGGGAGAGCAACTAATCCTCTCCTGGCGGCCCTGGAGCTCCATTCCAAGTTCTGGCTAGTCAGCGTCTCCTCTCAGTAGACTGTGGACGTTTCGGAGAATGCTCACGCCCGCCTCGCCCCCTGGTGCCCCACCTCCTCCTCCTGGCCCCTCCCAGGGGTCTCTTGGGCCTGCCCTTCTCCCCTTCCTTTGCCATCCCTGCCTCGGCCCTCAGACACCTTGCCCGTTACAGATCCCCATAATACAGGACTTGGGTACAGGACAAAAGTCAATCAACATTCAGGACAAGAGCCCACCCTGTGCCGAGCAGCTCCTGAAGCCGGGGAGTCTCTACAGGGCTATCTGCACTGCAGCTCACGGATTCTGGGCGTGGTGACATCGCGGGGCTGTCTGTAGGGAGCAGGCGCATCAACGGCACATGGTCTATTACAGAGGCATTGGCTGCAGTTCCAGAGTCAAAGGCAAAATCCAGCATCGACCCTCACCGTGCCGCCTAGCCCACCCCACACACCTGCAGTGCCCTGCCCTGCAGAAGCCTGAGCAACCCACCAAGAACGCTCCTTCCCCTCGTTGCACAGAAACACGTCCGTCTTACTCAGTCGGGACCGGAATGGAAAAGGAGTGGCTTTTAGCCCGCCTGGCCTTTCGTGGCCCCCAAATGACAGGCGCTGCGGCGGCTGTTTCTTGCCCTAGGGCCGCTTCCCAGTTGACGCTGGTTTGGCCCCTAGCAAAAGCCCCCAGGGGTTGCTGGGTGAGATCCAGGCGGGTCCGTCCAGTCCAGCATCCGGCTCCAATCAGGGCTGGCAGGCGCCTCAGGGCACCCTCCGAAACCCTCGTAGAGTTGGCGCCCTCAGCGTAACTGCCACTGGGGAGGGCTCTGCCTGGGGCTCTGTCTAGGCCTTCGGGGCTGAAAGCTGCCTGAACTAGAGGACCTCAGGGCTGTGAAAGCTGCAAGCTGATTTTGGGGCGCTCAAGGTGCTTTTCCCCAGCCCGGAACCTGCCACGCAGATCAGTGTAATCCGCTGACGGCAGAGGAAGACCTATTTATAAACCCTTTACACCTGAGCACGCATCGCCGGTGGCCGTCTTACCAGAGGCCGGCACTGGATGCGACTGGGCCTCCTTTAAAAACACTCGGCCGAGGCCCTGAGCTTTCCAGGGCCGCAACTGGGTGCTTTGGCCATGCACCACCGGCTCACGCTGTTTCTGGGCCCCATTTTAAACTGGGGGGCCTGGACAGGTTGGAACTGAACAGATTTCCTCCTGGGGGCGGTCGTCTTTTTGTTTGTGTGCCGCGGGCAGAAGAGACTGGCCGGATCTCTGCGCCGACGCCCAGCTTTGGGAGGGGAAGCCCCGGACGTGCGAAGGTGCCCCGCTGACGCCAGGGAGGGTCTCGGGGGCGGAAGGCTGGTCCCAGGGGGCCTGCTCTCTGAGGGGTCGTGCAGGAGGAGGAGGAGGGGCTGCGGCGCAGAGGGCTCTTGGCCCCCCCGCGGCCTGTTTGCCATCGAGGAGCCAGCGGGGGTCTGCTTGTGCCAGGGGGAGGGGGCAAGGAAG